AATATTTACTGATGACCACGTTTCGAGCACAAATAATTGCTCATAATCTTATCGAGTTACTCACACAACTTTTTCCTTCATTTATATTCATGTGTGGAATTGACTGGATATCTGAATAAAATCAATATAGGATAATGTACATTCAGAAATAATAATATAAGTTTTGTTGATGGGAAATATGACGAGTGTTTTTATAGTCAAAATAAGAAACTTGTTAGAATGTTATGATGTATGTGAATTGAAATAGAATTTTGAGACTATCTATTATTCTCCTCTGATTTGACTGACTGGTGGTAATGATATCTTCCATATTTCTGGTATTTGTATTGAGTCATTTCTGTTGCATGTGTTGGGTGTAGACTCAATGAACCAGGATTCAGTAATCAATCTCTCTCTCCACCTCCATAGATTACTTCTTAGAATCTTAACCCTCTCCCACCATGCTATTTTGTGGTTTTGTGTTAATGCATGTAGTGCAATTGCTGAGCTTTTTCCTAAATTACTTATCTTCTCGGGGTCAAACATTCCTACCTTAGCCACTGAATTCTTATGTTCCGACAATCTGATTACCCCCGATCTACTAGTTTGACCTATGTAGTTCACCTCACAGTCATTGCAGGGTATTTTGTGAATTATATTATTTTGTCTATTTGAGTCAACTGGGTCTTTTAGCCTAGAGAGCTTGTCTCTGAGTGAGTTTGTAGGTTAGAACGCCAACCTAATTCCTGCTTTATTAGGAATCCTACGTAGGTTTTCAGATGTCTCCTCCTTATACGGTATAACAATAGATGACTTATATTCTCTCTTATTTATGTTATCACTACTAGTTTCACAATTATTTTTATTTTGCTTTTGGCCTTTTCGATCTTCCTGATGAATTTTATAGGATAGCTATTTAACACCAACGCCTCTTCTATCTGTTTCACTTCATCGTTTAGGTCTTTTTTGCACTACTTATTGCTACTCCTCGGTTTGTTAGGCACTCTTAACTAAGCCCGTCTTTACAGACAGATGACGGATGAGACGAATTAAAGTCTAAGTATCTGTTAGAATGCGTTGGCTTTTTATGAGCACTAGTTTACATACAGTTTAGCTTCTTTCGTTCGTTTTATTTTACAATCTAACATGACAGCTAATTCTCCTTGTTTATTTTCCGATTCAAATGTGAATTTTATTCCCTCTACTAGTGAGTTTATATGTGTCAAGAAGCTAGAGAGAGATATGTTCTGTTTTTAACGCTGTGAGTGCAAGTGTCATCCACATATCTCCACCATATTTTTGGAGTAGGATTAAATGTATTAAGAGCAATGTTTTCCCAGCTGTCCATAAATATATCCGCTGCGATAGGCGATATTTGTGATCCATCCCATTGCTACACCTTCAGTTTGTCTATATATTTTGCCTTGGAATTTAAAGATAGTAGATGTGAGGCATAATTGAATTCCTAAAGTAATTTCTTCAATGGGCAGCTTTGTCCTATGAGTGAGTTCAGGATCTGCAGTTAGTTCCTTTTAAACTGCTTCTAAGGCGGGCATATTGATTGGTATATTAGCATAAAGACTAGTTGTATCAAAAGTAACCATTGTTTCATCATTTTCTAGTTGAATGTCATTTAGTTTATTTTTCATCTCATATGAATTAGTTAGTGTAGAGTTTGAACGATTTCCAATCGGGCATAATATTAGAGCTAAGTGTTTTGATAATTCATAAATAAGGGGTATTTCTGAAATCTACTATTGGTCGTATGGGGTAACCTGGCTTATGTATTTTAATAGTACCATACATTCGACTAGCATTATTAGATTTAGTCATTAAATTAGGCCATTTAGACTCACTCAGAGACGGCTTCATTCTGCGTATTAATTCCACTGTAGATTTCTTAACCTCATTCATTATTGTATCCACAGGTTTCTTAATTTCCTCATACTGACCCATCTGAATATGTTCAGTGACTTTCTTGATATAGTCAGAATTATCCAAAACTACAGTGGAGTCTCCTTTGTCAGCTGTTCCGATGACAATGTTGTCATCTTCAAAGGGTTTCAACGTATTGTGAGCTTCTCATAAAGTACTGGACACCCAACTGTTTCACCCTGGTTTGGGACTCATTGACAGTACGCAAGATTCGATGTTAATTAAACAACAATAATGTCATTAGTAACACTAATTCATTCACTATTATGTGCATATAACTGCAGAACCTGATGATGAATTTATCGAAAAGAACATTCTTTGTTCAGTAACCATTATTCTGAAATATAATTTTTACAAATATCTACTTCTCACTTCGCAATTATTTTAGAACTTTTCTGTCAAATCTTGACCACAGTTCCTAAGAATATTCTTTAATATCATCGCTATTATCAAAGAGTCTTCAATTTGTCACCACTGCTGTTGATAGAATTATTTTTATTATCATTACAGCGAGTAATTGCACAATTAACGGTCACAGTCTTAAAATCCTATTGATAAATTACAAAGACTGGCTTATATTCAAAATTTATTTGTAAAACTCTGTTTATTAAAGTCAGATTAGCTGTAACTGAAAACAGTATTATTCGCTTACATTGGATTAAACAAATTTGTATGGGTAATATCCTTGATTATCAGAATTTGTCACAAACTCCTATACTATTCTCATACAGTGGAAACAACTCAACTGTCTTTTCTGAAAATCTCTATGGATAGTGACGTTAATTATTTCTCATTTATCACACATGGAATGAACACAGAAGTAGTCAAGTTTTGGTTAGCAGGTATTTCCTTGCTTTTGAGATTTAATCGTGAGTTGATATCGGGAAAAGAACTAGTGGAAAACCTGTGAGTACTGGACGGCCATTTCGTCGTAGTCTTGGACTATTCAGAAGTACGCACCCACCGGGGTTTCTCCAAGAGACCATCGGACACTCCACAATCTCACCGGTGAACTTTAGTCGTCTCATCCGACCTTCATAAATTAGCAGAATTTAGAATTCATGAACTGGCCATTGGATTGGGTCCCAGTGGCTTGACTGTCTACGAGCTCCCTATGTAATCCAAAGGTCCTGGGTTAGAACCCAGGTAGGTGCGTATTATGAAGAATCCCAAACTAGGACGAAACGGCTGTCCAGTACTCCCTGCAGGTTTTCCAATGGTTTTCTAACTGATATCAGCTTATGATGAAATCCTGAAACAGAGAAGTATTTTCAATCTACTTCAACAAATGTATGAAATGTATGCATGAGTGTAATTTCAGTGAAGATCATTGTTTTGAGTACTAACGGATTCCAGTGATCGCTTAAACGTTTTTATAACTGCATAATCATTCACTTAGGTTCGCTCCAAAAGGTGATTTGAATTTATCTTGGAGTTAGGTATATTAAAAGCTCTTAAAAACAATATCTTCTGTTAAGAATAGTTACATCAACGAGAATTGAGAACAGAAATTGTTGTAGTAAACATTTATTAACGTATTATAACTTGTCAAGTGAACATGGTTCTGAATTAAAACAAAATTTGTGGTTTGTTTAATTCTTGAAGCAACATACAAGTTTCAGCGAGTTAATATTCCGTTCAGGGAATCGTCACTGTGGTATAATATTAGTTTCGAAAGGCCCTCGAAAGTCTCATAGGTCTTGTATACACGTACATATATGAGTGAGGATAATTGGTTAAAAATTCTTCTGAGTTCACATATTCCCAAGTTTCTGTAGCATTGGAATCTTCAAAAGGTTTAATAACATATGTTGGACTCACAGGAGTTCGTACATACGGCCATTCACGCTCAATGTCTCCACTTTAAATTAAGAAAAGAGAGGATACAAAAGATGTGGATTTTAGAAAAAATGAAGGAAATTTCGAGATATTTCATGAAGTGAATAATTAACGTGAAATGTCAACTCACCCTGGACGGTAGTTGCATACAACAAAATATTTGTAATCGAAGCCTTTCGTTTTACTGCAATCTTGAACGGCACATCCTACACGCCTCATCTTTTGTGATGCGATCTAAAACAGATTAGCGAAATTTTAGTTACTACTAGTCTTGGTAGCACTGAGAGGATTCTATCAAAAGACTGAATGGCTCATTATGTAAAAGATAATGTGGGAAATGGTGAGGAAGAAGCCAATAAGGTGACTGCGTTAACCTGAAAACAAATAACTCGAGGAGAGGCAAGAATTGTATTGCTCCTACAAAATGAATGCGTCAATTCAATCTCTTCTTAAGGGTAGTGTATCAGGGTAAGGCATTCTGTCACAAAATGTAGGAGTTTGCTGCTTAAAATAGCATTAGATCAACCGTAGCTTCATAAATACCATGCAGCCGGACAAACATTATTTCGTAGTATCGTGACTGGTAATGCCTCTTGCATTTCCCAATGACAAGTGTCAAACATAACTAGTGTGTGCAGAAAGCATGTTGCTTGAACAGGGAACCAGTATTCATCCACCTAAGTGCGCATAATATGACAAATAACATTTTGCACCCCTTGGAGTGTTAGGTGTTGGGTGTTGGAATTCATTCCGTGGGATTCTGACAAATGTGGGTTAGGGATTAATGCTCATGTTCCATTTAGGACTAACTCTAGTCTCCCACCCCGACACATACATCTCATGTCAACATATTCATCTATGGAAAGCGCAAGAAACCGAATACAGGAAATAACAGTCGAGTCAACCTAAATTCAACCAACTGTATCAGGTATTCAGAATGCACCAATGACATAAAATTGCATTTTTGTTAACCTTCCAGCTAACATGACACTCAAGCATATTTTTAAATCTAGATATCACGCCATGACTTTCAATGCATCTAACTTTTAATACTCTACTTAGATACACAGTGTAGTTGTGAGCATTTATTTCACCGACACACAATCTCGACATCAGTGAGAATTCCTGCAACATTGAAGAAATCACTTGAAACTTGACCAAACTGGTTTCTCACTCAAAATCACAAAAGTATCTCTTACTACAGTCAAACAGTAAGTAAACACATAAACGTAAGAAACACGAATCCATTAATAAAAATGAGTGTGACTCAAAAATTCAAAAATCAAAATTTTCGATAATTTCACCTTGAGGTAATGTCTGCATTTTCTCCCATCGGAACAATTTTTTGTCGCATAATCATAGTCCAAGTGTCGATTCCACCAATAATCTACAGCTCTAAAGAATCAAGACAAATGATTAGCTGTACAATTAAATTCACTTACTCTTCCACTGTATCAACTGGAGCAATATTTTGTCTAACATATTCCCCTTTCTTCTTCGGAATTTGACTAGTATCATAACAGGGATTACATGTCTGGGCGAGGCGTGCAGCATAGTGTGCAAGTTCAGCATCCCATCTCTGAAAAGTATTAAGGATATGATGACTAAGTAGCGTCTAAATATTAATCGGTTTACTATAAGAGAGTGCGTAGGGGTACAATGCTCGCCAACCAAGCATATCGTCCTAGGTTCGATTCCTGCTCAACGCAACCCTTTACCTCGCAAAGCCAGTAATCAGACTGGTAAAGAGTGACGGTTGGGCATGAGGCTTGCAACCACATCTCTTGAAATAGAAAAAGACACCGCTGCTACCAAATCTTCAAGCCTGTAGCTTGAAGCCCCATGTTCCACCTGGAACGTAAAGTAATAAAAAAATGACTACAAGAGAAGACTGTAAATTCATTTTTATGCAGACGGTCGAATGAAACAATGCGAAAACACTATTTAAAGCTGCTGAAATCGCCGTCAACTGCAAGTGCTAGTCGAAGCTGGATTTAAATTCAGGAACAAGTGAGGTGGATCTATTATCACGAAAAATAAAGAGATCTAGTATGAAAGTAACTGCAAATCTTATATTAGCATGCAAAGAATTGAGAATCAACCAACTTACTAAATCAGGAAGAGCAACACTACTAGCCGGTTGACCCTCAACTTGACCTTTGCTCAACATTTGTCTAAAATGATTGTGACGTTCTAACAAAGTTTGCTCATCCTGGGTCAAACCGGACTCCTTCCCTGTTCCCAATTGCACGAGAAGCACCAAAACGACTAAAATATTCGTGCTCGTCATGATCATGTCTGACTAGAAGAGGTAGAATCACACATATTTATACATATTTGAATACACGTACATTTATAGATTTATCTTATCTTTGTCTCCATATGACTTATCACTTCAAATGTACTCAATTACCAAAATAAGATAAGTAGTGAAACGAGCAGACTAACACATTCTGATAGTACTTCACCATGTTTTGACTCCATGATGGTAATAACAAATAATGTAAACAAGATTTAGATAATAGTAATAATACTTCATAATTAGTTAGTTTCTCTGATACTCCTGATCAGAAATAGGGCTTTCATCAAGTTGGAAACAAAACGTTTCAATAGTGACTGTCACAAGTAATGACTAGGAGATGAATTACCTTCTAGAATGTTCACTCTTTGTATTCCCTATGATTCTGATAGATAGATAGATAGATAGAAGTGCCTCAGTCACGATTTCTTCGTGGGACTTAGAGCTGATCCAGATTTCTTACAAATGACATGACAGCAACATGTATATCATGTAACAACTCATTTCTCACCACTTCTTTATCGATCATACTTACGCTTCAAAGTGCGTAATAACTCACTAAAGTTGGAAAGATGATGGCAGATGGTTTCAATATTTAGGCCTGTAGTATTACGATAACAACATATATACCTGCAGGCTCCCGTTGCTACTTATGGGTGTGCTAACAAAGCCTTGACATGTTGAATATGATGTAAGTATCCTATGCGCAGTCCAATGACTGTATAGATCTACCACTGTCTGCAGTGAAGAGTTGAGAGCAGTCGTAGAGATGAATGCCATATCTATTTAACCATTTATAGAGTCATCACTTCTGTCACTGTTAAGTCGTACATATCATATCAGCATATGTCATCTTTCTGCATGTAGAAAATTTATGAGGTCCTGACTTGGTATAATATAATATATTACAACTTCCTTGGGTGGAACATAGGGCTTCCTCAGGACATCTGCACTTCACTCCGCTGTCTGTAGTCATTTGTAGCTGGCTCTTTCACTGCCGAAAACGTTTGAATCCTCCTCAGGCCATCTTCGCCATGTCACCTTTGGATCTGTTCCACAGTGAGTTGTTTCCTATTTGCGTCCCACTCGTGTGTCATCTCCTCGAAGTATGTCCAGTGCACTTCTACTTGCTTCTACATAAAATATTCCTGGTTGTTTCATTGCCAGAGTCTTTTCGTGATCATCTTTTCTGGTTATCTGGCCTTCAGTAATCAGCAAGGGAAAGCAGCTGCTGATGAAAGTCTGCGACAGTCTGTCTAAAGCACTTCTCATGATGCGTCCATCAAATTTCTGAACTAGATCAAAGCACTTACTTTACAACATTAGTGTCAAATGTCAAAACTATGCTCAACGAAATAGGCTCAATTTACTGAAAATAGTTTTTAAAATTCTATCAATCATCATTCTGCACAACACTGACAGCTCCTACACCACCCACAATGAACTAGTAAACGTTTGCTACTTATGCTGAAGTGATCTAGGTGATTATGCTGGGGAAGTTTTACTGGATTCAACTGAATGTGTGCGTGTGTGTGTATTACAGGTGCCTATTTTTTACATTAAGTTGTCTAAATACGTTAAACATTTTCAACTTTATCACTGTTTCAGTGATGTTCAGAGCAGTTTCAAACTATCGGTACGTCCGCTGATGACCATTTTTCAGACGCATAAAATAATCTTCTTCTGAACTTCTTCGTAAAGGAAACTTCATCCAATGACTAGCACAAATGATACTTCGGTAACACGTGAATTGAGGAACACTATGAACTTGTCAAATAAGGCAGTCTGCTCTTAATGACAGTAACGAGGGAATGTTTCTTGAGCAATCAGTGAAGAAAGTATTCACATGAATTCATTATGTAGGCAGACAGTAGATTGGGAAGGATGAAAAAGTGGTACTGAATAGACTTTGTGAGTAAGAAACACTTCAAAAGTATCTTATTAAATGCCCCCATAATAAAGCCGTTATGTTTTCTTGCTAAGTCACATACTAGTATTCACGCTGTATTGGGTAATGCGTAGCTGTCATTCTAAAGTCATTAATGACCAGGCCGATACTAAAATATGTAGAGAAAATGTAGACCTCTTTTTAGAAACACTTTAATTAAATAAAAACTCAGTGGTAACTTGAAAATGGTCACTATTTTCGAGTGCTTATCAGTGATAGTGTCAAATTTCGATAGGATTTTTATAGCAACACCCATCTGACACATTGTTAGTTAGTTCAAAATCATCATGAGATGTGGCTTTATAATACTTGTGAGAATCGTTGCCAACCGATAGTGTTTCTGTAGTCTTCAGACTTTTCAAGTTTACATTTGCATGGTTCAGTCATAACCAAAATTCTTCAAACAATGATTTTATATGAAATCGAATTTTTATTAGTTTCATAGTGCTGCAGACATTTCACCTTATTAAACATACTGAAATAAATAACCACGAAATTAACAGCTGGTGTCCATTGTCGCTTGAATAGTCACCAGATCTGTGCGCATGGTATACTTTGGCTAAATTGTTCATCACAATCCACGATGACGTTTTCTCTCTCTTATTTATTAACAACACAAAAGGTGGTAGGTTGGAATGTGTACAAAAATCCTCAATTTCAGATGAAATGATTTATGAAAATGCCTGCCTTACTGAATAAAATACCCTACAAAATGAGTAATTCAAAGCAGTATGTTTTTGATGGAAGCGGTCGACTAAATGACATCAAAATATTCTTCAAGTTAGCAGTTCCACAGAATGATGAAGACTGATTTTCGCAAACATATTTGGATGAACTCTTGTATATCAATAGATTGTGTTCTTGCTATTAAAATTTCAAACAGCGCCTATATATATAACCCTAAACACCATTATGATATCCGCGAAATTTGTATCTTTATAAGGGACATTACTACTGAATTATATATGTAATGGCTGTCTCAATGTAGCATTAAATGTTTTCTATGAATAGGTTAACAGACTGCACCGACTGTAGCTGCATAGTATTCATTGCTCATGGGAATATATAGATTAGGCGTATATATGATAATGGGCAGTCACTGCATGACAGAAGAGATCTGAATATGCCCTTATGAAATATAAATTCTCGGAAAGCTGTGACGGGAGTTCACATTTCTCCTAAGTAAGGGCGTCACAGCCACGGTGAAAATAGGCAGATGTGTGAGACTGTTACCAGAATCCAAACGAACAACTGAAGCGCGTTAACGAAATCAACCTAATAATACATTTAAATATGAAAATTGAACTTGACTACATCAATGACGACTGTCACTGATGGCATACTAGACAGATATTCTTCATTTTGAATTATACGTAGTGTGATAGAAGTTGAAAATAATGGGCCCATATAAATGGTGAATATTAGATTCTGCATGATTTCGGCTTCACAACTTCCTGTTTATTCTTCACTACAAATAATGAATCAGCGCTAGTTCTCCTGACTGCCTCCAGAATTAACTTACAAAGTGCACGTGTGATTGCGAATATTCTCGGATTTGTGAATACAGTCAGCAAGATAAGAGAATAAACACGTGACACTATTTAACCGCCTGTAACCACTCACTCAATTAGGATGATAAGGAAAGGGATATTGGACATACACTTTGCTTTTCACCTATACATTCAGCCCTATGTTTGACAGAAGACTTTTCAATAGATACTCATCTGCCTTTTCTGTTCTCGAGTGATATCTAAGACTGGTTGACAGAAGACTGAAAGTTGAGTGATAATTAAGGGTACTAAGATACAGCGAACCAACGTACTTTTTAAAAATGGAAATTACTACTGAGCAGTACGATGAGATTCTAGATAGACTTGTCAAAACACGATGCGAAAGAGATTTCGACAACAGCACATTTTTTGAAGGGATTGATTGACAGATTAACTTCGCCTAGTTCACTAGCTCACTAGATCTCAAGCCATTCTGAAGAGTGGAAAATCTAAGAGATGGTTTGGCGTGGAGCTAGTGACCATACCCCGGAAAATTAATCCAACTGCCATAGAAACTTCAACGCACAAGGAACGACGCAGAACCGCTCACGCCCGGGAAATTCTGGATTCAGCAAATACAGATCATCAGCGCATCAAATTGCAGCTCTACGCATCGTTATCGAACATAGCCTAGAATGCCAGTCAAACCCCCACTTCTAACTCTACTTCATCGACTTCGGAAAGGCCTTCGACTGACGGCGTTGACCGAGAAGTAATTTGGAAGATGCTTAAACACTATGGAGTGCGATAGCCAAATGTTTATCAACCTCATTCAACAGCTGGCTATATGAGAATGCCACGTGTCAAGTGATCCACAACGGAAAACACAGTACAGCCTTTGAAGTGAATACAGTAGGAAGACAAGGCTGCCAGTATATTATCAGTGATGATATTCTTAATTGTGGTTGACTGGATTATACATTAGACTGTGCATGGAAATGGAAAGATAGTAATACGCTGGACCGACCGATTAGAAGACTCTAGAATATGGATATGGATTTCGCCTGTGAATGATTTATGTTTCATGTCACACAAATTAGAAGACCTGTAGGCGAGAACCAGAAAACTAGCTGACGACGCTGACTGCGAATACGGGACTTCAAGTGGACATGGATAAGACAGAGATGAGGAAGATAGCCAACCAACACTGACATCAACAACAACCAGCAACATTCATCAGCAACAACAGACATTTGAAAGTGGTCACTTCAACTATTCTATTGTTTCAACCACAGGCCAGTGGAACTGATGAAGATATCAGAGCCAGCCAGACTCAGGAAGGACAAGACACACCTTCACCAATGTGAAATCAGTCTGGAAATCTTCCGAATTCAACGTAGAGGACAAGATTTGGATTTTCAACACCAATATCA